ATAATCACAGTACCCTGTGTAATTCCCTCATAGCATCCTTTACTACCTGCCCTTGTGTATTTGTTTAGTTGGTTGTTCCTCTCCTCACTGGAGTGTCAGGCCCTCCAGAGTAGGGACTTCTGCTCTTTTTGTTCACAGCTGTATCCTCAGTGTCTAGAACAGTACCTAGCACATAGTAGGTGCCTCAATATTTAATGAGTGAGAAATGACTCTTGAGGTAGGGAGAGTCAGCATGAGACCCCCTTTTGCTGGGTAAACTGAGGTACAAAGGAGTGGCCAACATCCCTGAACTGTCCAATCCCTCCCTAGCCACTAGAGGGCACAAGCTGTTTTGGCCACATGAAGCACAAAGAATCAGGAGCAGGGCTCATCCCCAAGGTGGTGTATGTAGCATAGGAGCTGAGATATATGATGTGGGCGGGGGTACCTGGGGGACATATGGGGGAGGGGGCTTGGGGCACTGAACTGGGCATCTGGATCCAAGGGAGCCAGGTAGATTTGGGATCAAGTGTTAGCTCCTTGCAACCACTGGGGGGCCTTGGTCAGGTCACTCGGCTCAAGGGCCTCTATTTTTCCAACCATAAAATGGAAAACTACTCCTTTGCATGACCCAGCTGTGCTCTGGACCCAGGCTGGATCAGCATCCCAATTCAGCCCCTGCTGTGCAGGGTCACCTCAGAGGCCACTGGCCCTCTCCAAGCCTTGGGGACAGGGCTGGATGCACCTTTGGGACCAGAGAGCCCCCCTCTTACCAGAAATGCCACCTCTGCCATCCAGAATGTCTTGGAGGCCCTCCTTGGTGACAGGCAGGTAACGGGTGGATCGGAAGATGCCACCTTCCCCCTCAGCGGCCTCAGCCCCACCCTCGATGTCCTCCCTTGGCGCCGGGCCAGGCAGTCTCTCAGGGCCACGGGGACGGTCTGGGGCGGCCAGACCCCCTGCCAGGGCCCCATCCATGGGCACTTTTTGCGTGGCTCCCCTCAGCTTCCAGGCTGGCTCAGTGGGGCATTGTGGGCCTGGGGGCAGAGAAAGAGGTGCTTAGGGGAGGTAGCAAAGAGGTCCTGGCTCAGTTTTCCCCCTCCAAGCCTCAGAGTTCACCCTTGCTGCTCAGTGCCTAAGTTTACCTCCTAGCCCTACCAAAACAAAAAACAAAAAAAACATCACTATCACGTATATTTCAACTCACGGCAGCCCCATGTGTTACAGAGTAGAACTGAGTTCCACAGGATTTTCTTGGCTATAATCTTTATGGAAGTTAAAGGCCAACACTTTCTTCTGTGGAGGTGCTGGGTGAGGTTTGAACCAGCAATCATTAGGCTAGCAGCTAACTGCAAACCACTCATGTCACCCAGGGAACCTGCCCAGCCCAGGTGAGCTGAATATATGGCTCTGAGGCCCCATGTACCCACATACTGGGGATTGTGCCAACCACAGCACACCTTGACCCCCATCAATAACCCCTCTCTGCATAAAGATCTACACTGCCCCCATTTACCCCATTTGTGTACCTGCATACCCAGTATTAACCCTCCCATGCCTCCCTCCTTTACAGAGCTGCACTTTCCCCATTGTGCCCTCGCTTCCCTGCACATGCAGGTCCCACGCCTCCCTCTGTCCCAGCACCCACCCAGCCATGTCCACACACGAGCTCTGCACACTGTCTCCAGTCCCCCGATTATCGCCCCTGCACTTTTCTCACACAACCTTTGCCTCAGTTTCCCACATCAATTATGTTTGCACTTTTCCCACACTCCAACATTTCCACCTCCGGACCTGAGGGTCCTCCAGCATTAACCCCTTCACCTCACCCCCAGGCAGCCTCAAGTGACCCTAGCACTAAACCCTTGGCTTCTCTCCAACATTCCCCCTCATGCACACCCAGTCTGAGGTCCTCCATCCCCCCCCCCCCCAAGACTGCTCTAATCCATGGGGCCAACGGTGGGGCTCCTGGTCCAGAAATGAGGACCCCAGGGAGGCTGGGAGGGGGGCTGTCCTCTCCACCTATAAATACCTTGAAGGTAACGGCAGAAAGTGAAGGGCAGGAATGAGGCGCCCTCCCCAGGGAGAGAGTGAGGAGGCCGGGCCCAGGCAACCGGGGCGGGGCCGGGGCTCCGGGCCTGGCTGCCGGCGCTGCCCTCAGGGCCTGGGGGCTCCCAGGGGGCCCGTCCATGGGCTGGCAGTCGTGGCGGGGGTCCCTGCCCAGGCCCGGAGGAAGCACCTGCGGGTGCCCACCGGGTGGGCACTGCCCACGGGGTGGGCACTGCCTGCGGGGAACCGGCGGGACCGCAACTTCGGGGCACTTTGGCAGCACTGGGCAAGGGATTCTACCCGGACGCCCCCCGGAGGGTCACTGGGTGGGGGCTGCGCCAAGCCAGCGCGTCCCTCGGGGGTCCAGGGTCTGGGGGATGCGCCCTCCGCCCGTGCACCTCGGGGCAGGAGACCCCGCGAGGCGCGCCGGGGAAGGGGGACACCT